TTTGCCTGGCGCATTTCTTAGTGCGGCACGTTGTGGAATCGCAAGGGGCCAAGATCTCTCTCAGATTTACAGACTCAGGATCGATTGCGGTGCCCCAGAACTCTTGACCCACGAGGCCTTGGCAAGCCTGACTTTCGCCGCTGAGGTTGCCCTTGCCCGGCGTGGGATCCCATGAAGACGGCACTGCCTGAAGACCTGCAGCACGCCTCCTTGACGCCCCTTGGTTGAACAATGTTGCCATTTTTTTCCGTGCTTGTTTTGGCAGTAGGCTGAAACCTTCCTGGTCTGCGATCGGCTTTTGCAAAATATTCTGGTTGAGATTCCTGAGCTGCCTTCCCTGGGCATCTCTGCAGGGTCGGAATGTGGTTTTCAAGTGTGTAGCGTGTGTGAGGCAAAAAGCGAAGGGTTGCATTTTCAACATTACGCGGTGTCTGAAGCCCTCTGCTCTAAACGCGAAGTTTGTGCCAGCGTGAGCCCCAGGATGCTTCAGCGGCGAATTCGGCCTGAGAACCGGGTGGCGCCGTCGCTGCGCCGCTTGCCTTACGCAACGACTCGTTGCAGACATACCCGACATACCCCACGCCTGAGTTACAAGTAGAAGTTCCAGAGAGGAGCTCTGAAAAGTGCGCATGCCGGCCTGGAGCCCGAGTGTGGCTTTTAGGCGAGGCAGCCGCTTCGGTGGAGCACGCAGGGCGCCTCTTCGAGGCGCTTTCTGCGAGAAGTGTCGATTTACGGAGCGATCCCATTGTCCGATGATTTTGTTCATTTTTGTTCTATCGGTATCTGGGTTTGTTTGATGTCTGTCGGCGCAGCATGGCGCAGCCGCACCCGGCAACACACCTCACACACTGCGAGCGTTCTCGTGAGTCCAAGTGCCGATCCGATTTGTGAACTGCTGGTGTGGTATGACGTGGTATGCCATTGCAATGACTCCTGAACAGACTATTGTATGCCTGTATTGGCCCCCCGTCCATGTGTGTAAATCATCCAGACTTTGTGGCATCTTGCGGCTTAGGGGAATTTCCGCAAATGAGGGCTACCCTTGTTGGGGTGCCTATGAGAGGGGCATTCTATAGAATATGAACCTATCATACTTGGGATGTACAGAGGGTGCGCCTATTTTGGGAAATGCCCCCCCCTTTTTAGTGCATTTTAGTGCCACAAGTTAGCTCCTGGAGGGCTGGGTGCGCCGGCGCCAGCAACTCGCGGAGGCTTGCGGAGGTTTTGTGGGCCCAGTCCGCGAGAATCAAAGCTCAGCATTGTGGAGCTTTCACTTGAAGCAACTACGCAGCTAGAGCCAACGGCTCAAGTGGTTGATGAGGCAGCGTGGCGTGTTTGCGTGTTTGTATGCGCTGCAGATTACGAAGAGCAGGTTCTTCCGGAGCTGTCTCTCAAGATGGAGTACTGCCGAAACCGAGCCAAGGCCCTGGACATCCTGAAAGCCCCAAAGCCTTGGCCAAATGCGACTCCACGAGTCCACGCGAAGCCTCCAAAATTCATTTTCCTTGGCCCTCTCGCTTTTCGCTTTGGAGCCAGGACTTCGCGTCCTCCGCCGCCGAGAATGCGCTGCGCGCGCTGAAGGAGCGGGTGGACGAGGACTGAATTGAGACTCAGGATTTGCAAGGCTTCGCAAGGCTTCGCAGACGCTGTAAGTCGCTGTTCCCTCTTGGGAAAAGAGGCCGCCGCCATGAAAATCGAGCTTGAGACAAATATTGCTTGTGCGCCAGCGCCCAGGGCGCCGAGGAAGAGGAGGAAGCGGAGCAGCAGGAGGAGATGGCGGAGGCTTCAGCATCTTTTTGCTGGGGCAGTAAGTTGAACTCGGCTGCTGAACATCACTACGAGGAAAACTTAAAACCTCCCTAACATTCAGTTCTTCCAGGGCCAGATGGCCTTCGAAGCCATCGGCGAGGCTCAGTCTGACTACAACGAGTGGGCCCAGGAGTCCCGACGGTGTGGCCTTCAGATCTCACTGACCCGAGCACCAACACACATGAGCATATCTCATTTCCCCATTTCCCCCCCCCCCATGTGTCCAGAGACTCCCCGTTTCAACTTTAAGCTTATGAGGTAGGTAGGTGTAGGGTTGATTTTTAGGCGTTTTGGTTTTTTTTGGTTTTAGCTAGTCGGGGTTCGCTTGTGCAGAGCACCTTTTCCCGCCCCAGCCCCGAAGAAGCCCCAGAGAGTTATGCCGAGTCTTTCGAGAGAATTTTGGCAGAGAGTCCCGCTCAGTCCCAGAGTGCCCACCTCCAGAGAATGCGGAGTCCTGCCGAGTATTGCCGAGTATCCCTGGACTGCCCTGCAGCAAAGAGTATCCTTGGAGCGCCCACCCCAGAAAATCGCGCAAGAGCCCCGGAGAGCAACTGTTCTGGAGCCACAGAAAAAGTGAGCGGAGAGTTCTGCAGAGAAGTATCCTGAATTGCCTGTCCCAAAACGATACTTGTAGTATGGCTTCCACACGTTTAGCTGTAGATCCACGTGTTTTTCCCAAAAGGTCTCCTTAGGTGGCGGGTGTGCTTCCTTGATGGGGAGAGTCAAGTATGAGGCCCAACCCATTGCAAACCACAAAGATGAGATTTCGGTGCCCCCCCATTTAATTTGATGCTAATTATCATATTGGACGGGGTTAGAAAGGTTTAGTTTTTTGCTTTGGTTTGGCATGTGCTTTCAAGATTGAAAGCGTGAAGTTTCTGGGTGTGCAAGTCCGATTAGCTACCAGAGTTCAACATGAACAACTCTTAATTTAATTGCTTCGTGTCATGATCAAAAAGCGGAGGCTTGAGGTTTCAGATTGGAGGCTTGTTAAACACAGTAGTTTGAGCCTAAATTGGTCGAGAACCGTACCCATTATTCTGCTCGTAGTTGCAGTCGCCCTGTCGTACATCAGATCTCACCCACCACAAGGCGGATTTATGGGATTCCATTCTTGGGGCTTTACCCTGACTAAGAGTGACAACCCATCCTGGCCCCACGGTTGACCTGTGAAGGAGGAGGATGCAGCGCAACATGCGCACCCAAGCTACCTCGCAGCTGGGACTGGTTCTGGAGGTTCAGGCAGAGAGCGTGCGCATCATGATGGGCGCTTGTGATCTCGGTAACTCATGCCATCACATGCCCATGCGGCAGAGCAGGCGGCGTGGCAAGCTGCCGTTGAAGGATCAAGTTACGAGTACGGCAATCATGGCCTTCCCTCTCTAAAGCACTTGCCCCAAGTTCCCTAGTGCACATTGTGCGGCGACTGAGGATCAGGCCTCCTTCCTGTCAAAACCGTTGCGCGCTGACAAGGCACTGGGAATTGTGGAGCTACATGTGTGAGACATTTTGAGATGCCCCGTAGGAAAAGCGCGGCAACAAGAGTTTGGAGTCAGGTTCCGGGTTGTGCCATCCTGGCTATCCAGGCGGAATCCTTGTTAACCATGGTGCTTGTCGTGCAGAATGATGAAGAACCTCCAAGCATAGAGAACTGTCATCGGCCCTCACTGCACCTGACGTCTTTCAGCTCGCAGTTGCTTGTTCTTCTACCTGGCCAGGGTCTGCCAGCATTCCTGCTTAGCACGCTTGCATTCCGACCCCAGTCAATCCGTGGTCGGCGATGTCGCCTGGCACGGCTCTTGCACACACTGATCATCCTTCGATCAGTCCGCGGTACCTCGCCTCGTTTGCCGACTCTGACACTACTGGTACAGGAAAAAGTAATGCTGTCCAGTGTGTTCCAGCATTTCTGTCTGAAGCCCCACTACTGTGACTGCAATCCTAGCGGACTAATCGTCGGGGTGAATGTGGTTGAGCACGGTTCATGCGTGCATACCCCCAATTGTAATCTTGCCCGCCCATGTAGGCCCTACTCGCAGGTACTTGGTCAGTCCGTTCAGTCTGGAAGCTCCCTACGGTCAGAAATCTAATGAGAATCTAATGTGCGCATATGGCCCGAGTTCCAACCCCAGGCTGCCAATGCCTTGCCAAGCTTAGTCTCTCAGATTCTCTCAGCCATGATTCAATGATATATGCAGAACAGAGCCCGGGTTTACTCGTGGCGTGCGGGGCAGACATGCTAGCCTGGTCAGGCCACGCATTCTGCCTTCCAGGCGCAGACTTTTGCTTTAGTGTCAGGGACAGCCAAGAAGCTTTAGACCAAGTGATGGAGGCACTGCCAGACAACCCGAACTCCCTGCTCTTCCCCACAAGGACAAGTGAGCCACCCTTGGGCGAGCATGGCTAGCATTCACCAGGCATTCCCCCCGGGGCAGTCGCCCGAGCAGCTGGCCCAAGCCACGCCCCTACTTCTAAGAGGCAACGGACGTCAACTGTCAATGGGGCTTGGTGGGGCTAACGAGGTCTGAAGGTTAATGTTGCCTCACAATGTGCGAAGAAGAAATCTATTTCATGAACAGCTGTACACCATGAATGTATTTTGAGCAGCCTTTGCTTAGGGCCCCATTCAACAGGCATTTGACTCAGGGCCCCTCTGCTACTTACTGCCAAAGCGGGTCCCACCTTAGCTTTGGTTAGAGCAATTCTGGTACTTCTGAGCCTGTAGCCTTGAGGCTTCCTTCCCTTGAATTCTCACGCGCCTTACGCTCAAGGCCATGGGCCAAATCTATGGCAAGCCGGCCGAAGCAGGACCGTTGTTGCGGGCAATGGTTGCTTCAGATTGCAGGTTCCTGTGGCCCAGCCTGGACTGGAGTCCCGCTTAGTTGCAATGTGTAGAGTATAGTGGAGTGATCACGGGCGCCTACACCATCCTACACCCCCTGTACTGAACCCCAAATCCCGACACCCGAAAATGAGAGCAGTAAGGGGTACGGAGTGGGCGTGTACTGACAAGCGTGCAGCTAACCCAAACCACAAAAAAGCCCACGCCACGCATCCGCAGAACTACTCATCAGATTGGCCCTTATACAAAAAGCAGCCTCTCTTGTGAGCCTCTGTTGTGGCATGTTGTGGCTCTCCTTTGTGGCTTTCTCGGTGCCCCCGTTGATCTTTTGATCCCAGGGCCTGGCCATATGGAGACGCCCGAGACCCCGGAGGTCGAAGCCGAGGAGCCCTCACCCAGCCAGGAGGAGGCCACAGCTGGAGACGAAACCCCTCTTTTTTTGTGTCGTTGCTTTGTGTCGTTGCATTCCGAAGACGCTTCTCAAACTGTAGTCGCATGGCGGCCAGATCTAAAAAACAAGTTCAGGCTCCGGGGTCGCCCCCCTTTCACCCCATTCAATGCTCAATGCGAGCGTGCTCGGGAATCGGGAAGCAGTTGAACACAGTACAGCAGGGCTTTGAGGAAGTCCGGAATTTTCATAGGCACCATCATCGTGTCGTCACACTTGCCGATGCACAAGGAGCAATACTTTTAGATGTTAAAAAACACAGAGAGACAGAGAGGCACATAGGGTTTCCCATAGGCTTTTCCACAGGTTGTGGAGGCGGAGCAGGAGGAGGAGGCAAGCTGCGCAAGCAACCTCTGCTGGGGTTGGACTTGTGCTGAGCCATTAGCGATTTCTGAAGAAGTCGTGCGGCCCCAGTACGTTGCTATCAAGCTTCTTGAAGGTGCAGACCTTCAACAGTGATTCAACAGTATCATATGTCAGAACACACCTGCCTAGCAGCTGATTTCTGCAGATCTGTTGCCCCACACTTCCGAATTGAACATGCCAGGATGTTCTGCAAGCGGAGGAGGTCGAAGACTTTGGGGCAACTGCCCCAGTGGTTCGCACAACTCACCGGACGATCGGGATCCTGCGATACCGTATGGGCTGCGTTTCGCTGAGGACTTTTTCCGCGAATGTGGCGAGCCTGGTGCTTGGAGTCTGGCATGCGCTCAGTGTGGTCACGTCGAAGATGAGTAGCACTGCCTCGAGAACCGCTTATCGCTGTCATGTCCTGTCATGGAAGCGGTGCTTTACGTGCGAAAGTTGAAGCCGTGCTTTCCTGCGGTCGCTCTCAGGTTTCGCATTCCAGCGACTGTCCTGGCAGCCCGCCGTGCTGCCAATGAAGCCTACTGGGTCGCTCGGACACAGAGATGGAGCCATTGAGAACATTGCAAAGTTGAGAGTGGTGCTGCGACGGCTGCGATTTCCTGGTTCATATTCCACATGAAGTTAAAGCAGAAAACCTCAAGCCTTGCAACCTCCTCCTTTAATTAATTCCACCTTCGGCAGGATTTTATGTACCTGACACCCGTATCATGGCCGACACAGTACCTGCAACAAAGGCCTTCGACCGCGCTATGCAAGACGCGGAGAACAAGGCTCAACAAGCATCTTCCCAAACTCTGCCTCTTGCATCGTTGTCCACCCAATACGCGCATGATGGAGGACTATGTAATTTTTTTGGGTGAATCGAGGACGCCCAAGCCTAAAGCAGGAACAACACTTCTCCTTCCAAATCCAGAAAATTCCCGTGTAAATTGGTCGGGGTTGAAGCTTCTAAACGCCAGGTTGGCCTGGCCATCCAGCACTCTGTGCTGCGCGGTGCATAGCCCGGCCTTCCAAGGGAAGCAAGCAACCCGTGCAAGCCCCGCCTGTTCTGACAACATTTCAAGCTTTCAAATAAGTAAAAAACAATAGCTCCAGATGAGACTAGTTTGGGTCTGGGTAGACTCTGGTGGATCTTCAATTCTGTACTCTTCGCTGCAAGGCTGCGACTTCATGAGTCTAAATGCGAAATCAGAGCAGCATCAGAAGTCCTCCACCAACGACCAACCCACAGCCCACCCGACGGCCGCAAGCCGGCGCAAACGCAAATCGCGCGATTAAAAGTGGATCGGCACTTGGCTCGAGCTGACACTGATTTTGCCTCAGGGTCTGATGTGTGCGCTGGATGTCCATTCGTTTATTGTGTTTGGCGCTCCAAACCGTCCTCTAGGCCTAGCCGTTCCCCCTGAGGCATCCAACACCACTGTGCGAATGTGTGTGAAAACTGTGAAACCAGACCCACCAGAAGACCTTAAGACCTTGTAATTCTGTAAGACATCCGACTCTCGGCCCCGCTCTCCGTGGCTCAAGAGAGAAGCCAATTCCTTGCGAGCGGGGTCTCGCCGGAGCCTGAGCCGCTGCCGAGACTGCAAAGACTTGCGACCCAATCGCGACATGCTTGTGACGGAGTGGTGGCACGACTGACCTTTCAAAATACCACAGCCAACAGCCCGTTGACTGTAGGCTGCTTGTTGTCAGTTGTCACCATAGGCTGCACCATGGGCTGTAGTCTGTTGTATTCCATGTCACTGTAGTCTCAGTCTTGAAAGGTCGGGCCTCCGGCAGCATGGGGGATCAGGCTCGGGTGCTTTCGGCTGTCTCCATCCCTTAGATTCCTTGGAAAGGTCTGAAGTCTGAGGGTTAGATGTGGAGCCCCTGCCAGCGTTCGGCATTGCCTGCCATCCCATGCATCGGGCAGATCAACCTGAACACTGCCTCCACGTTTCGGGCGCGCCGGGCATGCGACCAGGGAAGCTCAGAGAGGAAGCTCAGAGAGGAAGCTCAGAGAGGAAGCTCAGAGAGGTTCAGGTGGCTTCAGCTTGGGGCGTTGACTCGGTGTTGACCGTGGCAGTGTCCATGTCAGCTGCTCTGCAGAGTCCCCGTTGCCCCCCCCAAGACACCTTGTGGTCAAACCACACGCAGAACATCACAGAAGCATTTTTTGAGCTGTTATGCGCTTGCCGCATCCTTCAGCTCTTCAGTCCCTTATTACGGTCCCTTACAGTCCCTTACAGTCCCTTACAGTCCCTTACAGTCCCTTACAGTCCCTTACAGTCCCTGTCCTTGCAGTCCCTGCACACCGAAACTTGGGTGACATGTGCTAATGTCACGCTATGTCACTTGTTTCGGGGACGCCGAGGGGAAGTTCTACTTGTCAACTTCCGAGAGGCAAGCCTGTCTCAAGAAGCCCACTGAACATAAATCTTCGAAAGAGGCTCCATTTCAAGTCAGGAACCTGCTGAATAACCTCAGCCCTTCCAAACTCGAAATCTCGCCTTGAGCCAGTCTCCGCCGAAGTATTCCTTCACGCACTCCCCAGTGCTTAGCCGAAGGCTTAGCCGCCTGAGCCGTGAAAGCACAGCCAGGGCAATAAGCGCGGTGAGATGTCGGGGTGACTCATGCTTAGCATCGTGCTTCATCGTTTTCCCAAAGGACTCCAATGTGAAATTCCCGAGGCAAGGACAAGCCGTCCAGAGATCCAGGGCCGGGGTGCGCCTCCCGCTTTCCGCTTTTGCGCAGGGTTCTGCAGTAGTTCTGCGGTGGTTCTGCAGTGGTTCTGCTACTGGCATTGTTCTTCTCGAGCCCGCTTCTTGTTTTGGGCTTGTGGGCTGAACCTGCTAGAACTGTCCAGTTGCCAGGCAGTACCCCCAGGTCAAGTCGGAGAAGGACTTCGTCACTGTGTTTGAACCCTCGTTCTGACCCTGAATTTGAAAAAATAGCCTCGTGTCAGAATATCAGTCGCCATTCAATGAGAGAGTGAACTAAGTCAGAAAAAAGCTCCGTGAGACTTTTCAGCGCAGAGGACAAGCACACCAAGACTCCCTCCTGGAGTATTGGCGCCAGCTGCCGGGATGGCCAGGGGGCCCAAGCCGCGTGGTGTGGTCTCTTGTGGTTAAGTCTTCTAGCGACGAAGTACAGCCGCCGACGCCCAAGCGTTGGAATGCAACGGAACTGTTAGCGATGCTTTCAGCTTCACCAGGCAAGCAGTGGGCCGCCCTGCAAGCAGCTCAGACGGGGCTGCCTTTGCTTAGGAGTTACCCAGTTACCCGCCTAGGACAGGAATAGAAGTCATTGCTTCCGTGAGAGCACGTCTTTCACCAAGGGCTCCCTGAATTACTCATGTGGAGTGTTCCATTGGTCAGAGCAAGAAAATTCGAGGCCGGGCCCGGGACAGTACAGCCCAGCGTGGCTTGGCTCAGCACGGAGGGGCAGTGCCGGGGTTCTTGTGAAGGTGAGAGGCTACTGATTCTCTTGGTCTGACGCTACATGCGCTACGTGGGCAGACACCGCGCCTGCAGGTTTTTCACTTTCTACGCACGAAAGCGTCGCTGAGAAGAGCCACATTAGGGTTTACTGGCCCATGCGGGCCCCGAACAATCTAGTCCTGTCGAATCTTGTGAGCTTCCCTAGGCTTTCAATGCTAGACAGCCTTCGTAGCCTTCTTCCTTGCAGTCTGCTCACTCGACGCAGCAATCCTCCAGTCTCAGGAATCCGGCCTTCGTTTCGCCGAAGTGCCAAAACCCAGCTGTGTGGGCTTCTGGTGTTGAGCACTCTTCTGGCATGTGCGGCATAGGGTAAGGATGCACTGCCCAGACGATGGCAATGATGGAGGGTCCTTAGGTCCAAGAAGGCTTGCCCTTGCGGGGTTTGTGGGAACTGGACTAAACTGGTTGGCAAACTACTCAGGACTTAAAGATACTATGCCTTGATCGCAGTCGTCTCAGAAGTAGCATACAAAAACCTGTGAGCTCAAAACAATGGCGGAGGGCTGAAGAATGGTGATAGGCAGGCAGGTAAGATTAGGCAGTCATAGCCGCACCATGCCAAACACCAGATGGTCAAACGTAGTCTGAGCCCCGTACCAAAAGCCCGGCCCCAAGGGCCCGAGCGACCCGAGGTGGGCTTTCACAGCCAGTGATCGGCTCAAAGAGACAAAGCGATCACGGACGCCAGGCCCTGCGGTTGAGTTCGAGTCAGCGCAGCATCCAAACACACCAACACCTGGCACCGTACAGCACCATATAACACCATCAAAATCCATCAAACAATGTAACAGGACTGATGCAAACTGCAAACATGAGTTGACACGGATGTACAAAGCCTCGGGTTCCGACCATGCCCCCACTCGCTGCATGCGGCTGCACAGCTTCAAAGCATTCCGATGCTGCATTCCCTGCAGGCCCCGGCCAGTATGAGTTGAAGTCGACTCTGCAAGGCGCGACACATCTGATTCCTTCCTCCACCCGGAGACATAGTGCCTCGTAGTGTCATGGGCTGTCCAGGCATTGTTGCTTGTTGCTTGGATGAGTTTCCTGCGATGAGCTTGAGTCCCTTGAGAAGTGGCAGGCAAAGACGTTTCCATCTGCAGCAAGCCAGACGGTCTTCCTGGCACGACTGCAGCGCCGAGAAGAAAAGTATAGGGGACACCTCCCTCTTCCCCCAATGCCACGGGAGTTGTCTTGGCCGGTTCCTGTCCGACCTCTTGTGCCAGGCAAGGGCCTCACAGCGCCGCTGCCGGGGCCTGGGGCTTTCACGCCGAGCTGGGCGGGGACGTCGAACTACGGGTGGCGCCCCCAAGGCAGATTTCAAGGCATGGGACCTTGGTCTGGTTATGTCTGGTTTGTCAATTTTGCCGTGTCTTGCCCAGAGTCTTGCTACAGTGAGACCTTGGCCATTTGGCACAAGAAAGCCTTCCCCAGGTCTGCCCCATCCATTGGCTTCGGCGCATCAAACAGGCTGCCAGAGAGACGGTGACCGTCTCACGTTCACGTAGCGAAAACATCGCATGCGCAGCGTATGCCATTTGCCATTGTTTTTTTTACTTTTTGCATCGTGCGCCACCTCACGGCTTCCTTCACCCTTCAGAGCGGCTGCTGCTGTCGCGCATGCCATACAGGGCACACTAAGTCACTAAATTTAGCGTGGCACATTGAGAACTGCCAATTCTTGCTTGCTTTCCACGCATTGTGAGATGTAGTCATGCAGTCGTAAAGCTCAGCTGCAGGTAGCTGCAGGTTTCCGGATTTGGTTGAGAGATGTTGAGAGGGATCGAGTTGGCCCTGTCGCAGGGCGAAGATGGTGGTGTCCAAGACACCCGGGCCGGGCCAGTACGAGATCCCGACGACTTTGATCGGAGCCTTGACCAGAGCCACGGGATTTTGCCTCGATTTGGTTTATGCTGGATCGGTGTGGATCCACATCCTGTTGTTCATGTTGTTCACAGCACTGAAAGCCTGAATGTTGGGAGGCTGCAGGCAATTGCAGGCACAGACTGCAGAGCTATGGTAGAGCATGTCGGCCCTCGAGGAAATGTGACAATGAAGAGCCCTTGCGCGTGTCCCGGGCCAGCTTGCTACTCTGTAAAGGCCTTGCATGGCCTACTTTCATTGGGGATTGCGCATCCTGGGTGCAAGGAATCTCGAACAAAGGCTTGCAATTCTTATAATTCTTTGACTGGCAAAAAAAAGCTGCCAGGTATTCCATCAAGGGTCGCTATGGCCAAGCCAAGCCTGACGTGAACCCGGGTTGTGTCCTGAGCAGCGTGCAGCTTCCGGCGCATCTAAGCAGACATTGAATCCTCAGGGGCCACATGTACGTGCTATCAGCTTGGCCGCTGCTTACCACGGGTTAACAGGCGTAGACTCAACGCTGGAAGGTCTCCATTGATGTCCGTAGGGCTGCATCAAGTCTGGGGCAAGTATACAGCTGGAACGCCTTTCAACCACGTATTGCCTAGGCTAGGTTTACATCGGGCCCCGTGAACGTCTTGCCCCCCAACCCTCAG